CCTACCTGATAAATTCTAAATGGGATGTATCGAAATCCACTATCTTCTGGAGGATACTCCATGAGTTTTCGATTTATTGCCCAAAACTGTTCAAATTTATCTGTAGAGGTAAAATTGGAATTTGTTAATATTAATAACATATACTCTTTTTCAGCTAAAAGAGATAAACAAGACACAATTGGAACAACATGCAAAATTTTCTTGCAGAGGTTTGACCTGTGTGAATTTACTGTATGAATTTATTTTCCCCACATTTCTCTTCCCTATTTAGCCTGAAGCCAAAGGTAAGACATCTGCATCCTCCTATGAAAAAAGTGAGGGGGCAACTTATCAAACTGAAAGAGAAAGCAACATGAATTCATATTACGTCTCCCACATTGTTAGGGAAATATTGGGCCACAAATTATGGATTTCGTTACCTCAGTTGACAGTGCCCGTTTCTCCACTCTCTACTACTGGTCCACAGTCTCACAGTTTGTTAAAAACATCTCATTATTCTTAACTATAGATGAACAATAGGCGTAAAGCAGAGAAACTAAAGCAGTAGAAAAACTTGAGGGGTTTACATTTGGATATATAAACCTTAAAATAATCTGCAACAATGTATGCTATAACCAGAAAATATACAGTCAGTTTCATGACACACCTTGAAAATAAAATTTTATGTTTGAAACACATTTTTGTTAACATTATCCAAGTAACTAGGTTTAGTGAAGTAGCCCGAGGCAGCACACCATCCTGTTCAGACATTGCAAGAACTCAATAGTTTACTGTGCTTAAAATGTATTAAGGACAGCATAAGTCTAGAGCAGTAAAGGTTTTTATATATGCAAATCAATTATTCAAATCAAGAAAACAACCAATACCAAAAGTGACACAAAGGAACATGAAGAGCTAAGATGAACAAAGCTGCTGTTACCCTTACTGGAGAAGGCAGCTTTAGAAGAGGAAGAGCAACAGCAAGGCTTATATTTCCTTACAGCCCCTAACTCTCCAAGACACCAAACATAACAGGGAACATACAGGGAACTGCTTGAGAGGGTCCAGCAAAGGGCAACAAAGATGATTAGGGGACTGGAGCACCTTTCTTATGAGGAAAGGCTGAGGGACTTGGGTCTCTTTAGTCTAGAGAAAAGAAGATTGAGGGGGGATCTTATTAATACATACAAATACTTAATGGGAGGATGCCAGGGGGATGGGAGTAGTCTTTTTTCAGTGGCACCCAGTGATAGGACGAGGGGTAATGGGCATAAACTTGAACATAGGAAGTTCCATCTTAACATGAGAAGGAACTTCTTTACTTTGAGGGTAGTGGAGCACTGGAACAGGCTGCCCAGAGAGGTGGTGGAGTCTCCCACTCTGGAGACATTCAAAACCCGCCTGGACGCTGTCCTGTGTAACGTGCTGTAGGTGACCCTGCTCTGGCAGGAGGGTTGGACTAGATGATCTCCAGAGGTCCCTTCCAACCCTAACAATTCTGTGAATTCTGTGAATAACAGATGTTTCTTCAGAAGGAACACAGTGTCTCCCATTTTCTCTCCTTGGCACAATGTTCAGCTGAGTCTGAAGAAGCCTGGTGGTATAACCATTGCAGAATTCAGCCCCCCCTGAAGCAAAGTAAAATTCAGAAATCTATTTGCAGAACAAAGGTTCTTCCCACTTCCAAAATTGCTGATAACAATTAAAGAGATTGCAGAAAATTACAGGAGTCTGAAATTTGCTTCACTCCAATGTACAGCAGAGATGCCTGTCAGTGTGCTAATGGACATAGTTAATACATATTGCCTGAATTACAACATGTTCTTTTCCTGACAGAACGTGATGGAAGGCAGGAATTTCCAAGAAACCATAAACGCACTCCTGCCAGGTATCCTGCAGGAGCATTCCCTGATACTTATCTCAGAAAGCACTTTCCCACCCTTGCTTCCCAATCAGCAGCCAGCACCTCTTGAGAAGCACATACCGGAGCTGCAGCCAGCACCACCACGCAGGCACCTGCCCAAGACCAGGAGCGGCCCGGACGCAGGGTGCAACCCCACCACTCACCAGCTGGGAAGCTCTGCAGGTGACAATGACAGAGATGGCCCCAGAGCTGACTGTAGCCCAGCAAGCCTGCATTTGGGAACCCCAGCCTATGGAGTCAGAGGTTTACTCTTACAAATTCTGACACAAAAGATGACTGCATCCCCCCCAGGAACTCTGTCAGCAGAAGCAGGAAGGTGAAGGTTTCGCATACTTCCCTCATACTTGGAGACAGCGTTGAGAACGGCTTACAGCTCTCACTACAGATTGTGTGGACAGGCATTCTACAGGAGGCATTGATTGATTTATACTTCAATTACCACCTGACTATAAACTCAGCTGATAAAACTATTAATTATGGTGATACACAAAACAAAACAATCAAGACCTACTTAAGCTAGCGAGCTGCAGCAGACTTAAATCAGGAATCTACATATTTGGAGACATCCTACCTGACCAAAAAAAAAAAAAAAAATCAAACAAACATTAATTTCATTTACTTGTTTAATGCTCATATTACAGTAGCTAGGAAAGTTGGGTGAACAGCTTACTGTCCTCAAAATGCAACAGAGAAGAGAAACACGTCTTATGGATCAGAAGAACAAGAAATTCTGAGCAAATACCATACTTATGGTAGGAGCTTAAATATATTGTCCCTTGTGGTATATATGGCAAACAAGTGGATCTTTGAAGGACAAAATGTTGAACAGTGGTAATGTACAGTTAACTTACTTCTGTTCTTCATTCCAGCTTCCTCACCACCCAGAAATCATGCAGGTAATCTTATTTAAGGCAGGCAAATTTACAAATTTATACTTATCAGGTTATTCTCTGAACAATCAGACAATGCTTGACAATCTATTGTTGTATCAAGATGTTTAAATTTCTAATAGTTTCTGTAGTTTCTAAATATAACAGCAACAAGTCTGCACCAGTTGAATGATGAACTCGATGCATTTTGTAATCAAGTACGTTCTGTAAATCCACCTGATATCCCAGGAATGAAAAACTTTCTAGTAAATTAGATAGACATAATGGAGTCAGACATCTCCACCATGTGTACAGCACTGTCTGAAGACATCTAAGCTAGTTCATACTCATAACCTTATACTACTGCCCTCCAGACATCTTTCCATGGATACAATATTTTTACTACAGGAAACTGAGTTCAGTGTAAGAAAATTAACACAAATTTTTAAAGCAAGCAGCAGGAAAAGGCTACTAGTTTGCATACTGATATACATGACTTGGCAAGAGCTTTTATTAGCATTAGGAGCATTGGCTGAATGCCAGAATCTGAAAGCTCCAAAATGCAAAAATCCAAGAATACTGCTTTCACAGAACTCTTAAGAGTCAAAACTTAAAACAAACAAAAAACCCAACACCAGACAACGCTCCCTCTCCACTCCCCCAATCCCTTTGAAAATATAAGTGAAAGGATGCATTCTTCTCCCATTTCTGTGTGCCAATACCTTCTATTTATGCAAAACAGAATTAAGGAAGCTATTAATGCTATGATGAGCTATAAGAACTAATTAGTGCTTTGGCTAGACAGGACTTAGACAGAAGGTGCTGGCCGGAAGGTTGACAATCCAAACAAAACTGAGTTTTCATCAAGCCAGCAAACAAGGAAGAGTTCTTTATCAGCAAAACCACTTTAAACACTCATCTCCCTCCCTCGTGAAAAGCTTATGCAGTCTACATGATATCTAAACTCCCGTAATAATTAAATCTGATTACTTTTGTTTTCCACAATCCATCTGTTTTTAAGAAAGTGCTTGACTGATGTGCCAGAAGAGTTTCTGTATTAGCAAAAAAACAGTACTTGCAGAAGGCAGATGATTGTACCTGAATAACAACATTTAAAATAATGGCAATAAGATCTGAACATAAGTGAGATGAGTGACAGTATAAAAGTTTCAGATGCCTCTACTAATCATGTTGCTATATAACTCCGCCTAAAGTGAAACATAAAAACTTTTCTCTCTGTATTTTATGTCAAAGATCACAAAGTTAATAACCAAATAATGGAAGAGATCCAGTTGGAAAAAAAAAAATCATCAGCCAAGTCACTTGTATTTATAAATATTAATTTATTAGAAATGCATTCACTGAATACCCAAACACCAGACAGACATTACCCTTCAGTACTACAGAGATGCACAGAATCTAAGGAGAGCTTTGAAAATATCTGTTTACACATATAGAAATAGTTTGAGTTGGCAAAACTACAAGGACTTAATGTCACCCGTAACGATAATCTCAGTACACAAATTCATTAAGCAATAAATTAAACCTCAAACATAAATTTACAAATACAGTGTGCCACATTATGCATTTAGGGTTCAGAAATCTATCACTGAAATTGTTCATGTCTTTAAAGCACCCTTTAAAATAGTTAAAAAAAAAAAAAAAAAAGACTGCTACAGGGAAACACTGAGAATTGTTTCCTCCATTAAACAAGACTGGAAATCCTTTAGCAATCACTGAAATTAATCTAAATTTATATCTGTTATATTCAAAAGTTGTTGGTAACTCCAGTCATACTTTGTTGTTAATACACAGTAACTGATGAACCTTTTACTATTAAGCAGTGTTAACTAAGGGTTAGTCCAGGCTGAAACTTTGAAGGCTGGGCCTCTTCCTGAGGCTGAGACCTGGGTGAAATGTTCTTCAGACAACCAGAAAATTTAGTTCCTTTCGTGCTAGCTAGCATCTTACAGTCATTCTCTGAAAATTAAGTGCTGTCATGCTTCAAACAACTTGAAATTTCACTTGGATCTCGATCTTAGGTGTGTCTCTTCCACCCACCTATCTCTACAATGGTAACCAGGATGGATCGCTGACAGGGTAAAGGGCACTGCTCAAGTATTTGCAATTCAATGCAACATAGCTATAAATCAACATACACAGAGAATACGGACAATTATCACAGAATGAGAAGTTATATCTACAAGTAACTTGCAACAAGACACAGTGGTCACAGCACATGGCCAGTTAAAATGGAGCTCCCACTGCAGAACAGTGGGCAAAAAAACCCACCCTAATCTTTAAACTTATCAACAGAATTATCTTAAT